TTAATGTGTCAGACACTCCACTCACATTTCCTGTCCAATGTTTACAACAAACCCAGGAGGGGGTAATATTGTTACATCTTTGAAGGTGAAGAAGCAGGCTGATAGAGATGACTGAGTGGCCCAAGGTCACATGGGCAGAAGTGGCAGAACCGAAGAAAGCATGTGCTCTTTAAAGCTCAACACCAGGCTGCCTTCCAGAGTTCTCAGTTCTGTGAAGGTCAGAGGGGTACACTTATCTTTATGGTTCTTTATGGCTTTGGTAAAAGCTAAAACTGTCAGACTTTGGCTACTTGGAGAGTTCAAGGTTGAGGGTGGTTTTCAAAGTACAATGTGTGATACTCTTCAGCCCCAGAAACACACATTTCCCAAATTCATTTTCTGTCACTCCTAATTGTTCAACATTCATTCATCAACAATTTGATAAGCATATACCATGTGCCTAGCCCTGTGCAGGTATTAGTCATCTAAAATATGATTATACAAGTTATTCAAGTTTTAGAACTCTGTTCTTCTGGTGGAGGACAATCAGGAGGGGATACCTCCCACTCCTCCCATCCCTCTTTCCTCTCTAGCCAGAGAGCAAGTGGCCCAAACAGAGCCCACCCCACCCAAGACTGCTAGGCTCAGGCATGCACATGTGCACACATGGTCTGTCCCATAAAGTACGCTTGACCTTGAGCTTTGTGAGGGTGGGGACCATGTCTTTTTTGTGTCCCACACAGAGCCTGGCCTGGAGCAGGTGCTCAGTGTCGGCTGAATAAATGATTAAGCAATTCCTTTGACCAATCCACTAGGAGAACTTTGGCTGGTCACTTCATTACTCTGCACCTCCATTTGCCACATTTGTAAAGTGAGGATGAAAAGAATACCTATATCACATGGCAACCCTGAGATCTCCTGAGGTACTCAGTGAGCACTCAATACACCATAGTTGTCATTCCTATTATTGTTACAGTTGGGAGGCATGCGAGGCACATCCTTCCATGCCATGAGTGGCCTCCCATCCCCTATGACCTTGTGTTTTAGTCTGTTTTCTATTGCTTATAACAATGCCTGATACTGGGTAATTTATAAAGAAGCAAAATTTATTTATTATAGTTCTGGAGGCTGGGAAGTCCAAGGTCAAGGGGCACATCTGGTGAGGGCCTTCTTGCTGGTGGGGACTCTCTACAGGGTCCTGAGGAGGTGCAGGGCATTACATGGTGAAGGAGGCTGAGCATGCTAGCCTGGATCTCTCTTCCTCTTATAAAGTCACCAGTCAACTCCCATGATACCCATTAATCCACTAACCCATTAATCTATTAACCCACGAATGGATTAATCCATTCATGAAGGCAGAGCCCTAATCACCTCTTAAAGGCCCCGCCTCTCAATAATGCCACATTGAGGCTTAAGATTCAACATGAGTTTTGGAGGGACAGATATTCAAATCATAGCACCTTGTGACCTGGATTTTTGTTTCTTAAAGCAGAGCTGAAGTCTGCATGGCCCAGCTACACGGAGCTCACTCTGCTCTATTGTGAGAACCTTTGTCTGAGACCCTGAATATTGGGCAGACATAGGAATCCAATGCTCCTTCCTCTGCACAGCTTGGGCCAGCTGGTGGATACATTCCACTCTCTCTCTCTCTCTCTGGGAGTGGGGGTAGGCTATGCTTTGGAAATGTTAGTGTTTGACTTGAAAGAACAGCAGCAGAGCAATGCCAGCCAGCTCCTTACCAGGACATCCACCATTAACCTCTGGGCTGGCCATGTGTATGTTTGTGTGTGCGTGTGTGTACACACATGTGCAGGGACCCTGTCACATCAATAAAAAGACTGTCTCCCACTGGGCATACGATGTCACTGTTAACCACAGGGAGTTCTCTGGACCCTGGCTATTGGGGCCCCAAGACACACTCCTCAAACCTCAAGGGGCTGGGGAGGCAAAGCCTGGCCTCCCCAAAAACAGCCCTTTGCAGGAAAGGGCTTCTCTTTATGCCGGCAGCTGATTTCCTGTACTCAAGCCCCATGAGCCCCAGCTGTAACTTGGTCTGCCAGTCCCGTGTCCTATCACCAGGCCCCTTGCAGCTTTACAAAAAGACTCCTTGGGCACAGGGAGAGCCCAGCCCTAGAGCTAACCATGGGCAGCCATGGGATCTAGCTACCTTCCCCTGCTGGTTGTGAGCAGCTCCAAAGGCAGATAGTACCACACATGGACCTGCGGCAAGTGGCTGCTGGGTGGGAATGGCCTCCTCCTGTGCTGCATAATGCTGACAGGGAAAGGGGACCTAGAGCCAAGGCTACACAGCCTCCAGAAAGGAGAGCAATGGGGAGCTGACCCTTGCCTCACACTTCCCAGCACCCCAATTCAGAACTCCTGCTTCTGTTGCATTCCCCAGAGACCAGGCAGGGCAAACTACCAGGGTCAGCTTCCTAGGCAGGCAACTTGTGCAGCCACACAGAGCCCCACACTTGGTTGCAATGCTCTGCTATTGATGTCTTGAAATTCTTAATAATTTCTGAACAAGGGTCCTGCATTTTCAATTTGTCCTGGGCCTGCAAATTACGTAGTCAGTCCTGCCCACTGCCTTTGCTCATGTAATGCCTGGCTCCACCTAGACAGCCTTCCTCTTTCCTTTCTGTTTCTAAATCCTATGTATCCTCCCTGAGGCAAAGTCCTGACAGGAAAGTGTTTGAAAAATTACAAGGAGAGCACATTATATTTGGAGGAGCTTTTCTGCTCAACTGCAGATGAATGGTCATGACTGATAATAGACACATCAATACCTCTACTAAGCTGGATATTTTCTTTTCTCTGTCCAAGGGTAAAGGCTGTGATGGAGGCCTTCTACCCCAAGTCCTGAGGTAATTGTCTCCTGGTCTCACATTCCTTGAAGTGTAGAGGATCATATTTAATAAGCTCATTTTGTCCTGCCTTTGGAGTTCAAGGTTGGGTTCTGAGGCCCAAGTTGGCCCAAGTTGTTCTGAGGCCCATCTAACATGCCCATTTGTTTGCTATGACTTCAGACAAATCTTAGTCTCAGAGCCTCAGTTTAATCTTCTGCAAAATGTGTCACACTCCACATCATGAGGCTTTGGGACCTCAATTGTTCATCTCTCTGAGCGTCAGGGGCAGATTTCAAGCTCTTTTCTGAAGCTTTGGCCAGTTATTTTCATAGGTAGGCAGACATTAATTCAGGCACATGTCTACCACTTCTGATCTGTGAGCTGGCAGAGCACATGAATCTGGCCATACCATTTTAGAGGCTTCTTTCTCCTTTCCCCTGAAGCCCATTCAGGGCCCCTGGATGAGGCAGCCCTACTCTGGGTTTGGTCTCAGATTTAGCCCTGGATCATGCCTGAGGGGTAGAGAGCTGAGTTCCCGGCTGTGTTTTTTCTTCTGCGGAGCTGTGCTTGGGTGTTCCACCTGTAGCCAGCATTGTGAGCCCTCATGAGTCTTGCTATTATCTCTAGGACAGGGGTGTTCTCAAGGACATTATCCTTGACACCACAGTGACCCCCTTGTAAGGAAGTATATAATAGGAGAGACTTCTCTCAGGTCTCAGGACTCAGAGAAACAGTGCTGCTGTGGGAGAGTTTGTCACTGTGGATACTGTGATCCTTCTGAGAGCTGAGCTGCTGGGGTACTCAGAGCCAGATTTGGAGCCCTGTGTGGCAGCAGGTAGGCCCTTGGGCAGGATAGTCTGGGGCAGTCTACCCCTGGCTTGCTTTTTTGCAGACGCCCTCCCCTTTACTTTCTGTTTGCCTCATTCTTTTAGATTTTTGTTTTACACTTTTCTGTGTCTTCATAAACACCTCTGTCTGCAGCAAAATGAGGAATGATATGAATGTGAATTTATGTTTAAATCTACCACACTTTTAGGGGAATTGTGACGAAGAACTGAGTTGCTTTGCAAATACCGTGGAAGCAGCAGCACCACCAAGTGGAGGTGGGGTTGGGTGGGAGGCAAGAGGTCTTTCCTGTAGGCAGCATCATCTTGCCACAGACAGCAACCCCCAACCCCTAAGCCTAAGCTACTCACTGGCACCTGCTTATTTTTTAGAATAAATGAATGTCATGAAACACACTGAAATCTTTGCAACCTCCCTTGAGGTTTTGCTGAATTAAGTCAAAGGTTGGGAGCTGAAACTCTCATGTATCCACTGGTAGGGACTTGTTAGGACAACAGCATCCCACAGGCCCTGGGGAGTGGGAGGGACCACACTTCTGGGAAGGCTGGGTGGGAAGGAGGGGGTAGGAGTATAGGAAGGGGAGCTGAGGAGCCTTGGAGAGGAGTGGGTAGGCCCCAGCACAGTGGGGCCCTGGATCAGGCCCAAACTTGGCCTGGGTGTAAATGGACCAGGGAGCACAAGGTTTTTCAGAGGAGTCTGCTCAGAAAATAAAATCATAGAGCTCCTGGGACCACTTGCACTTTTCAACAAGGGAGAGGACATTTTCATCCCTGGACCAAGTGACCATACCCTCTGCCCTGCCCCTCTGGGTTTTTTTGTTGTCATTGTCGTTGTTTGTTTCTTTGTGGCTAGCCAGTACAGGGATGGAACCCTGGACCTTGGTGTTAGCACCACACTCTAACCAACTGAGCCTACCGGCCAGCCCCCCTCCCCCTCAGGCTTTTCATACACGTTCCCTCTATGCTGGACTGTTTCTGAAGGCACAGTGCCACCTTTGCTTCATACTGCCTCTCAGCTCAGGGATCACCAGTCACAGCGTGGCCTCAGCTCACTTTTTGCTGTGTAATGGAAGTGGAGTAGGAGCCATCACCCTTCCTTCCATTTCAAGAGAGGAAGCTGAGTCTCAAGGACGGCAGTGGCATGCCCTAGGTCACTTGCCCCAGAAAGTGGTAGAATCAGAAGTCAAACCTAGCACTGCAAGGCCTATGCCCTATGCACAAAGGTGACAGCGTGGCCTAGGGCAGGAAAGCCTGTGGCAGCTGTGCTGACTTACCTGGCGCAGGGCTGGAGTGCTGGGCTCACGCTTCATGCTGTCTTCCTTGGCAGTGGGATCTGGTGTGTCAGGATGACTGGAGGACGCCCCTCACCACCTCTCTGTTCTTCGTGGGCGTGCTCCTTGGTTCTTTCGTATCCGGGCAGCTGTCAGACAGGTAAGGATACCGGGAGGGAGGAAAGGTGGGATAGGGCCCCTTGTCACCTCACTGTCTGTCTTGAAGTTGGACTGAATTCAGGGCATTTCTGCCCAGAGGAAGGGAGGACCCTCAGGCCACTGAGTCAGTGATAGGAGGATCCGTGATCTCTCCTGTTCATCCTACCCTCAGCCCGCTTCACCTGGTTCTACTTTGTTCTGTTCTCCCAGCCTTGTACTCCCAGGGCTCTGGCCAGGGATGGAGGAGCCACTGGCCCCACTGGAAAGTGGAGTCCTCATACCACAAACCCCTTGATAAAACATGATGCTGTCATCACACTGCCCTTCCCGCACCACCCCCAACTCTTGAGAGTTATGTCGGGGTAGGGGGTGGATGACATATAATCTCTCTACAAACAGCTGTTGGCCAGTCAGGCCAGACAGTGAGCACTAACTGCACTCGCTGCTTCTGGGGCTGGGCCCCTGGCTGGACATGGGGGCCACAGAGCTGCCCCAGGCAGGCTGGTTCTGGGCCTCCTGGAACTGACAGGCTGGAGGAGGCAGCATCACAGCCGCAGGAGACATGCTCCACTAGCCCCTGAATGTTCTGTGGGGACCAGAGCAGGAAGGTGGGAGTGCTAAAGGGCAGTGTTGGGGAAGGCTTCCCAGAGGAGTGCTTGTCCCTCCCTCAGCTGCAGAGCTCAGTGGGACCCCAAGCCAACAGCCTCAGACCTGAGTTTGGAAAGCGGAGCAGGAGGCTGTTCTGCTCACACCTGTGCTATATTCTGTGCATTGGTCACTACCAGAATGTGAAATGAACACTTAAACTGACTACAGTGTCACCAATGGACATTGTTGAAAGCTACCTCTTCCCATAGAACAGTGGTTTGCAATTTTGGTTGCACATTAGATTCATCTGGGAAACTTTAAAAAAATCCCAATACCCAAACTGCATTCCAGACAAATAAGAATCTTGGGAGGCAGGGTGCTGGCGTCAGTATGTTTTTAAGCTGTCTGGGTGATTCCAAGTGCAGTGAAGGTTAAAAATCATTGCTGTAGAAGAACTCTTGCTTCTGGATTTACAGAATTCCCATGTTGCTGATGTAAGAAGTATCTGCAATCTGTGCTGTACCAACTCTCTAGAAATGTGGTGGCAGCTTCTATCTGTGGCTCCTTCTAAAGGAAAGATTTCCACATGGTCCTTGTATATGCTGTGCTGTGCTTTCATACAGTGCCTCCACAGAAGGCTTAGAATCTCAAAAGGCACCTCCTGGGCATGGCTCCTTCTAAAGGAAAGATTTCCACATGGTCCTTGCATATGCTGCGCTGTGCTTTCATACAGTGCCTCCACAGAAGGCTTAGAATCTCAAAAGGCACCTCCTGGGCAGATGGATGCCTGAGGCCTCACCAAGGAGGAAGCTGGGAGGATGGGACAAGAGAAACGTCTGTCAGAGACCTGGGAATAAACAAAGTCTGCAGTGATGCAACTCAGGGCACGCAACATGCCTTGAGTTACAGACTTGCTGCAACCTGCACATCTTATGTTCTCTGTTATGCTGTATTCTGTAGGTTTGGGAGGAAGAGCATTCTCTTCACTACCATGGCTGTGCAGACTGGCTTCAGCTTCCTGCAGATTTTCTCCATCAACTGGGAGATGTTCACTGCATTATTTGTCATCGTGGGCATGGGCCAGATCTCCAACTATGTGGTAGCCTTCATCCTAGGTAGGAATGCCTTCTGAGACTCAGGGTTCCTCCCTCCATCCCGCTGAAAGGCCAAGAAAAAGGGGACCCCTGGGCTGTGCTTCCCAAGCTTGATCAGCCTCAGATATCTGTGTGTTGGAGAGAGAGCTCTAGCCATGGGCTTTTTGAGCCAGTCATGGGCAGGGCCGGCACTCACTGGAATCCAGCTATTCTGAGCCCTGAAAGGTGGTGGAGGATAAGAGCTGGAGCTGGTAAGAACCAGCCACACAATAACTGAGACACATTCTCAGGAACACAGGGCTTGGGAGAGGCACGAAGGGGATCTTCAGGGAGGGACAGCCTGGGGATGTCTTTGATCTGATCTGTGAAGGCTCAAGCCTTCTGCTTGGTGGCCTGTGAAGGGACTTAGGGTAGTTGGTGTGGCTGACACACAGGTGGAGAGGCAAGTGTCAGATGGGGGATTCAGTCCCACTGTCATTGGGCGGATCTGGTGTTACCCTGAGTCAGAGCCCACCCCCCTGCACACATCAGCTTTGTGTAAGGTGAGCCTCGCTGCACTGATGGTATCCCTATTTCCTAGCAGCAGCCTTGCTCATCAGCAACAAGGCCATGACGAGGCCCCAGGGCCCTCACCAGCCTTTCCTGGGAGGAAGTGAGGTGAGCTCTAGGCAAGCTGACCAGGGCCATCTTCAGATGTAAGAGTGTGGGCAGGTGAGAGAAGGGGAGATGAGGGCACCTCTGGGACAATAGACACCAATTCCTATAACGTCCAGTGTGATAATATTCTAGTTGGCTCAGCACTATCGCAGTTTACCCCTACTGTCACAATGTAATTATTAATGTGCCCCTTTAATGTATGTCTAACCTTTTTGTCTCAAAAGTCTGAATCTGGTCAGGTGACTCTGATTGCTTTTAAGAGTCTGGATGACTCATTGGCTCTGGAGATGCTGTGTTCTCTTAGCTAAAGATGTGTACACCCTGTCAGGTTGCCAAGATGGAATTGTTCAAATTCCACTCCTTCGATTATCTGTGAAGATCCCTTTGCCATGGGCCCAGCCCCAGTGTCTGCAGAAAAGAGGAGGGAGAGGAGGATGTGGGGAGAGCATGCCGAAGCCACTTGGTCCCAGCACATAGCACACTGTTCAGCAGGAGGCAGGCCACTCTCCTCCCTGCAGGGGGAAAAAGGGGAGCAAGATTTTCTTGAAGATCATTTGTGTAGGGGGCATAGGAACCTTCAGGTCAGTGGTGCTGGAAACTGGAGACTGGAGGAACTTAGGACAGAAATTGCAACCTCCTAATGTCCAGTGGCCCCAAGGACACAGGACTCTTGGGCATAGCAAAGTCTATTGTTCTCATATTCTAAATCCCCAGAATCCATCTTCCTTATGGTAACCTTATACCTGAAAAGTCCAATATGTGGCTCTGCTTGGGCCAGACCCATACTAGAAACTAAAGAGACCTTCCCCAAACAGAGGACTCTGCCCAAGGCCAGCAGACCCACATCACAGGAGGAGCTGAAGGGCCATCTGGAATGGAAGGGCAGGGAGTCATGGTGTAGTGAGAGAAGCCCTATCACTGGGATTGGGAGCAAGGTGGAATCTGTGCCCAGCAGAGGTATCCCCACGTTCTGTGGAACGGCTGGCATTGAGACCTGCCTTTCCAGTGGCACAGGGTGCTTCTGAGGGTCTTGGAGCCTCCCCTATGTGAGTGGATGAGGCAGGGGAAGCTTATCCCAAGGCCTGTCCTGCTGGCCCCGACAGTACCATCCACTCCTCTCCCTGCTCCCCATGCAGCCTCTGGTCCCACATGCAGGGCGAGAAGGATAAAGGGGACTGAGGGGAAAGCAAGGCCATGGAAAATCAGTCAGAGCCTAGGTATGTCAAGCCAGCATCAGCGGGTGGGATGCTGGGTGCAGCAGGCTTGCTATCAGCCTGGGTCCAGGCCTGTTGTCGGGTGCTCTAGGAGGTCCCCTGGCTCTGTAGGAAATTGCTGACTTTTGTGTCCTGGTATGAGATTTGTTATGTTGGGTTCTCAGGTCTGAAGGTTTAAGAGTGTCACTGAAAACCCACCAGCCTGGAGCAACTGGACTCCCCAGTCAGCATGCTGGGAGGGGGACACTGTGTAAGGACAGTGCTGCCGCAGGCTTCCTGGCAGTGCAGCAGCGCTCTCTGGTGGTTCAGGGCTAAAACAGCCAAACTCCAGGTGTCACTTAACTAAAATAAACCGAAGGGTGGTGTCTGGGCTGAGAAGTTCTGCCAGTCTTCACTTTTGCCCCCTGGCACCAGGGAAGGGTCAGCAAGGAGGTATCTCATTGATAATCTGTCTTAGAAGTCTTCACATTAATTCGGAAACCCAAATTACTCCCACTCTCAAAGTGGTGCAGAAATGGGTCCTCTCCTTGCACTGCTTTTTTAAAAATACCAAGCCTGCCAGAGTCAGAGGAGACTAGAAAAGAAAAGGGAAGAACAGGACTAACCAAAGCAAAATAAAGTGGATACACTGGAAGTGATGGCCCTGCCAGAATGGTGCTGGTACCGGAGCAAATGACTGCTCAGGATCAAGGACACTGACCCTACCTATACTCCAGCTTCCCTCACAATCTCCTGTGTGAGGGACACTGACCCTACCCACACTCCAGCTTCCCTCACAATCTGCCTTCAACCTGTCCACAGCCTTCTGGATAAAATGCCAATATCCTCTTTTATCCTGCATACCTAGCTGCTTAAATGTATTCTGCACAAAAAGTTAACTGCCTTCTGTCTTGACTGATTCATTAATTCAATATTTTCTAGTACTCCTAACATCAACTCCCCATGCCATAACATTTCTTCGGGCATACTGAATCGTTTAAAGTTTCGCTTCCTCTGATGTCTACATGTTCCTCCTTTTGATGAGTATGTAACTGATTGTATCTTCCTTTATAACTTTGGCTACCAGGAAGCTCAGGCAAATTTAAAATTTAGCTACATCAATTATGTAGGTTTTATCAGCCACATATCTTTTTTAAAGTGTTTTTAAATTGAAATGTAATTTTGTCTTAGTCTGCTTGTGATGCCATAATAAAATACCGCAGCTATGTAAATTCTTAGGCTTGAACCTGACTCAAAGTACCCGCAGCAAAATATCGCAAAGATGATGATAATGACCATATTAAAGGAAAGTTAACTGCCCAAAAGCCAGAGAACAGAGTCATTCTAACAAGGAATTACTTAGGTTCACACCATCCATGTTCTTCCACAGGAAGGAGCTTCTGTCCCCCATGGGTACTCTGCAAAGTCATAACATCTGTTCTGGTCTGAGACCCACGTTTAAAGAGAGAGATTATCCAGGAACCCAGTGGTGTAACTTCTCTCTCTTCTCTTATCAAGGTCATTGAAGGTATGAGAGAGCTCCCCTGACCTCACAATTTTGCAAGTTTCTCACTTTGTCCTGTGCACTTTCTTTCTTTTCACAATCAAATGCTCTGCTGCTTCACATCTAAATCTCTACTTATAAAGAAAGCCCGCCCCTCCCCCCATTCATTTCCGTATCATAATCACAGCCAAAGTGTTTAGAAACCAGGGCATGGTAGGAAGGTCATTAATGAGGTAAGAAAAGATCTGGAAATCACACTCATGATCCTCAAAGAAGTCAGGCCCTAACCTTGGAAATGAGTTTATAGGCTGAGAAATGCCTTGGGTGGTTAGGGCAATTATCTACCTGCTACATGGGATGCAGGAGGCACACAGTACTGGCCGTCTGTCATTCTGGCTTTTTTAAATGGCCACTCAAGGGGAACCACTGAGCCAGGTCTCTCAGTTCTGATACATGAAGGAGGATGAGTGGGGTGGAATCAGAACAGGCAGGCTGTGGGAATGAGAGACCAGCTGAAGTAGTGATTTTGCTGCCTCTCTGGGATTAGCCCTTAATCCCTTAGCTGTGCTGAGGGCATATAAACATGATTGAGAAAATCTTTCTTGAAAGCCATGCTTGAATGACCTTTGAATTAATCTGTTTTGTATTTTCTGGGCTACTTCTCTTTAGTGTGGGCAGATCCCAGACAAAAAGCAGAGCCTTTGCCATTGGCCAGATCCCTGCCCCCGAGGCAGAGGACCAAGAGTGGACTTTCTGGAAAGGGCCTGGAGCTTTGACAAGAGAAGGAGCTTGTCCTTGGACTCCCCTGTCTCAAGCCAAGAGCTCCGAGGGGCAGGCAACATCTCTGGAAGAACTGGCACCGAGTGATCCTCTGTGGCGCCGAGCAGAGCAGGAGCTGACAGCTGCCTGCATGTCCTTTCCCAAAACAGTGCCCGCTGAAGCAGTCTTGAGCCTTTGTGGTGTGTGAGAGAGCTCTCTGGAGCTCACTGGGTGTGCGGCCAGCTCCGGGGCTGCCGCCTACAGGGCCATCAGAACAGCCTGCTTTTCTTTCCTGGGTCTGAATGGACCATGTCTGCCTGGGGCTGGTCTCTAGGCACAGCTGGCTGCAGGGTTCAACCCTGGGTGCAGGGGCCTGCTCTGTGCACCTCCAGAGCCAGCTGGCTCTTGTGTATCATTTCCCCAGGCTCAAGGGTGGGTAAGAGTGTTCTGACATCACAGAAACTGTGACCTCTCCACTGTTTCCCAATGGGCTGAGGTCTGTTGAGAATTGTAAGAAAGGCTTAACACACTATGACCCCACACAGCCCCTCAGAAGAGCCACCACTTGCCCCCTGGAATGCTCTTTCTGCTTCTCTTATTGGGGCTCTTGTTTTGGAAGTGTGGCTTTCTCAGAAGAGATTACCTCTTGGGGCTGGGCATGATATTTCTATGACATGGGATGGCCTTTAAGAAAATATACCTATGGCTCCTTTAAAATCTCATGAAAAGGGCTGGCCTGTGGCTCACTTGGGAGTGTGGTGCCTATAACACCAAGGCCACGGGCTCGGATCCCTATATAGGGATGGCCGGTTAGCTCGCTTGGGAGAGCGTGGTGCTGATAACACCAAGTCAAGGGTTAAGATCCCCTTACCAGTCATCTTTAATTAATTAATTAATTAATATCTCATGAAAACCCATCCTTCTGCAAGCTGATAAGTCTTGGATCACTTCCTACCTTCCTCCACCCTGACCACTCCTGCTCTGGGACGTGAGGCAAACACCTTTTCCCTTTTCTAAGTGGTTGTAGTTCGAACTCTAACTGCCAGGTAATGATATAGGAAGCAAATATTGAAGTGAGTTAAAATCTAACACCCCTCCCTTGTTTTGAACAGGAACAGAAATTCTTGGCAAGTCAGTTCGTATTCTATTCTCTACGTTAGGAGTGTGCACATTTTTTGCAGTTGGCTATATGCTACTGCCACTGTTGGCTTACTTCATCAGAGACTGGAGGATGCTGCTGCTGGCGCTGACGGTGCCGGGGGTGCTGTGTGTCCCACTGTGGTGGTGAGTGTGACTCGTTCCCAGACAGGCCCTCTGCTGTGGGGCCAGCACACCTGGAGCTGACCTAGCCTGGGCTTTGCATGACCTCCACTGGAAGTTGCTGAAGCCGGCTTTGAAGCCCGGAGAGTTTTTACCTCATTGTGGGTAGGCCTGTGTGCAGGTGTTTGATTCTCTGTTGTCCTACAGAGAACACTGTTCCCAGGAATTACAATCCTTCCTAGGCTCTCCCCCCTTGTGTCTATTGCTGGTTGTTTTTTGTGGAGATGGTATTGTTGGGTTTTGTAGTTTCTAACTCTGCCCCTCTTCTTTTGTCACTTTTCTCTCTCTGTAAAATGTCAATAAATTCAACTACAATAGTGCCTGCTTATCCACAGGGAATATGTTCCAAGACTTCCAGTGCCCTCAGTGGATGCCTGAAACCGTGGATAGTACCGAATCCTGTATAAACTATGCAAAACTATAAACTTTTTCCTACACATACATACCTATGATAAAGTTTAATTTATAAATTAGGCATAGTAAGAGATTAATGACAATAACTAGTAATAAAATAGAACAATTATAGAAATATACTGTAATAACAGTTATGTGAATGTGGGCCCCCCCAAAATATCTTTCAGACCATGAGTAACTAAAACCGTGGAAGGTAAGGGGGGACTACTGCAAAGTAATTCCTCAAGCTAACCTTTCATGATGATTTGCATCTAAGGTGTGTCTGCTCTGTCTTGAAGAGTGAGAGAATTACTTTTGTTTAATGAATTGTTGGAAAACTGTTCTTTTCTCTATTCCCACAACCCCCCAACTCAATTTTGATGCAACATTTATGGGAATAACAAAGTTTGGAGATTCTGGTTTCAGTCTTACCCAATATGATTATCTGAGAGATTTCAGGTGAAAGAAAGGATTAAGAATAATGGAATAAGGTCTCAGCCATACCCCCCTTTTCCATTCTTTGCTTTCTCGTGTTTAAATAAGAGAAAAGAGGATTTTTTCCCCTGGTGGGTCTGGTTCTCCCTCTCTCTCTAATTCTTCTTAGTTTGGTTTCATTACATCAAAATCAAATCTTCCAGCAATGACTGATTTTGCTGAACAGCTTGATTTCTACCTGTTTACACATAATAAAAATTTCTTTTATCATTTTTTGGAACTTATAGTTTAGACTAGACCTCATGGTTGCCCTGTCTTTTGAATACATCCTGCCTGGCAAGTTGTCTAGAAGATTCTTTACCTTGCTGCAGCTGTTGGGCAGCTATAGAAGTTTACAAATAGCCCATCTTGGCCTTGTCTGATCAGATGGCTCAGACTGGACCACTCCAAGCTACTGTCCTCACATGACCTCTGAGACTGCTATGATTTACCTGTGTATGTTCTTTGCATGGAGGGAGCACTTTTTATTTTACTTCCCTGGAATCTGAAAGATAGTTTATTAAAGGTTAGATATTATTCTGATTTGGAAGTTTCCTCTGGAACCCAGTCTGAGCATCAGGAAAGCCAGTACGAGTGTCAGTAAATAAGGGTAGGCCATTATCTACACAGCTCTGCCTCTAAGAAAAGCACCCCGAGGGGCCGGCCCGTGGCTCACTTGGGAAAGTGTGGTGCCGATAACACCAAGGCCACGGGTTCGGATCCCATATAGGGATGGCCGGTTAGCTCACTTGGGAGAGCGTGGTGCTGACAACACCAAGTCAAGGGTTAAGATCCCCTTACCAGTCATCTTTAAAAAAAAGAAAAGAAAAAGAAAAGGAAAGCACTCCTGGTTTACAAGAGCAGAGCAATTTTCTGAATGAGAGTAGTAATCATCATCATATTCATCATTGCCATCATCACACCCTCTGAACCTCTCTCCACAGCCACTTTGCTAACTGAATTTATTGGAAAAGATGTTGGAGACCAGAGGTTCTCTCAAGACACAAGACAAGATTATTTGAACGATGTTTTCTGCCTCTTCAGATGAATGATCTTAATAATCTGTGTTCCTTGGCTGTAATTGTCATTTTGGTCTAAAAGACCAGTACTTTAAAACTATGTTATAATCAAACAAAAAGAAAAAAATGAAGAAAAAAGGCAAAAAAGAAAAGAAAATATGTTATAATCAACCTTATTACCATATGATTCTATCAGAGAAAGAGAGAGAGAGAAATAGCAACAGAAGGGCTCTTAGGGATTGGATCTTTGCCTCAGGACCCCATATCCCAGCAAGGAACAACTCCGATTCATCAGCCCCACAGAGTTTCCTGCAGAGAAAGTCCATCCCACAGGAGCTGCCTCACTCTGCCCTAAGGAAAGTTCTTTCTTCTGTTTTCCATGGGCTGGTCCATGAGTGCTCCTGGCTGTGGGCACACTGTACCAGGGGCAGGACTGCCCCAGACAAAGGGCAGACCGGGGCCAACACTAATAAGCTGAGTGCTCGCACTGAAAGTTTAACAACAGTCTGATCATTTTCTTAGAAAAACAAAAGAGCTCTCTTCTGAACATCTCTTCCTTGAGGGTGAAGCTTCCTGAAGCAGTGGGCTGGGATGATGAGGGAATGCTTAGAGCTGCCATTTGCCCTGCCACCAGCTCAGTATGTGACAATACCCCACCATTGTCTCATCTGAATTAGACAATTCTCCAGCAATACCCTGCCCTGTTTAATCTGAATTAAATCCACACAGAGACTATAGTGTACAATCTCATTTGGCACTCCACTAACTTTTGAAATGACTGGCTAGACTTGAGAGTCTGTGCACCCAAAAAAGTCAAGGCAGTTCAAAAATAGAGATCCTAGTGGCCCTGGGTACAGTAGGTAGGAAATGGGAAGGGAACCTATACAGAGTCATTGCGGGTGGTTTGGGGTTTTTTATGTCCTAAGTTCTCTTTAAAATGCTTGGAAGTAAGTGGCCCCAGATGTGAAGGGAGTATGTGTATAGGGGGTGGGGAAGGAGACCAGAGATGCAAGATGAGGAAAGCTTCACAATTTCTAGCTGACTAAACATTAGGAATCCGAGGCCAGTGATGGCCCTCAGAGGCTATATAAAGAAAGGAAGGATATTTCTAAGCATAACCGGGTGGGGAAAGATACTGCTAAGAAGTAGAGGCATCCATGAAGTATACAGTGGCTGGGTAGTAAGACCTCTAGTTCTGCACTAATACAGTAGCCACCAGCCACATGTGGCTATTTAAATTTAAGTTAATTAAAAGTAAATAGAATTAAATTTTCATTTCTTCATGCATACTAGTCACAGTAGCTCAATAACCACATGTGGTTAGTGGCTACTATACTGGACAGCAGAAATAAAGAACATTTTGGAAGTTTCTATTGGACAGCACAGCTCTAATTACTGAAGATCAGTGACAGTTTATCATTACAGTTCCTATAAGGACCAACTAACGGCATATTCCAAAATGCAAACTGGGCTCATTTTTCAACCCATGTGCTAGTTACTGGGGAAGGGAGCTGGTGGTTGGTTATTTGTTTTGCTCTAAGCTAATCCCTAGTGTGGCTTTCAGGCCTATTAATTGTAGGAGGGCTCTGTATCTACTATTTGTAATTTATTTTCTAGGATAACTAAGTACTGACAAATAGGTAAGGAAAACAACAGCTGGCAGGAGAATGGCTAAGAGATTCTGAGAAATAAAAATTAGGAAAGAAGAGAAGTCCTACATTTGCAACTGTATTTGAGCATCAGTTGTAAATGTGTATACACTATGTAATTGTTAAAAATTAAGTCTTTAGACATTTTTTAAAAAAAGACAACATCGGGGCTCATCTCCCCAAAACTGGTTTGGGGATCTCACCTGGGAATCTGTTGAAAGCCACAGGGACAACCCACAGGAAAGTGTCAGTGCCCTCACCTTCTCCTCTGACTATGAGAAAATCTCGAGGAGCACAGGTTCCCTGGCCATCCTTTATCCAAAAAACTTGTGAACATCACCAGCTGGGGATGGACATGCCGAAAGACAGTCTCTTCTCTCGGGAGACTTACAGTCAAGTGACTGTATTTCTTTTATGAGCCATATTGGCTGTTAAGTTTTGGATGATCTTCTCCAGCTGCCCTGGCTTAAACACACCCACAGTTAATGTCACTCCTTATGGTCTGGTCCTGGTCTCAAGCACAACTGATGATCAGTCTTGCAATTTGATCAGAAGTTTGAAACTTGAGGATGTCTTTATTTATTCCTATAATTCAATGAGAATCTTTTGAGGACTCCCTCCCAATTGTCTTTAAAAAGAAAAACTAGATTTTTAGAAAATTAAAATTTTGTTGGGGCAGCTGATAGTTAATAGTATCAAACCCTGCTGTTGTAAAAAATTATAAACTATTAAAAATGAATTCTAGGTTTATTCCTGAATCTCCCCGGTGGCTGATATCCCAGAGAAGATTCAGAGAGGCTGAAGATATCATCCAAAAAGCTGCAAAAATGAACAACATAGCTGTACCAGCAGTGATATTTGATCCTGTAGAAGTAAGCATTTTCAGATATTTCCTCTTGAGATCAGCTATACATTCTTGATTTTATGGAATTTAATTTAATTCAATATTTGTTAAGTGCCCTCTATGTACCAGGCACTGTACTAGGCCTTAGATTAAGTTCTGAGATAAAATCCACCTTGAAGGGCTAAGAATTAAGAATTAATTAATATGTATGTAAACTGCTTAATGAATACTGTTAATTAAACATTAGTTCCTCCATTTTGCAAGTTTATCTCCATCTTTTTATTGGCATTGCTCCAAACCATTGATGCAGCTGTTTACCAGTAATTTTCAAATGTCCAGATTAAGTGGAAAAAATGTGTTTGAGAGCTATCCACCCTAGGTTCCCCACTATACCCCGAATCTTAACCAAAGCCTGCTGTGGAAGCTGCACATGTCTTTAGTCTTGTAATATGCCATGTCTGGAACCTTCAAGCCTAAGAACACAGGCTCAAGGATTCACCTCCAAGCAGGTGGCCACGAGGAAAAGCTGACATTCTATGGAAGCAGCCACACATCCTGACAGTTAGTGAGGACGTGCAGTGTTCCATGCCGTGTGTGGGCTCCGGGAGGAAACAAGAAAAATAACACACAGCCCCTATGCTAAAGGAGCATAGAAATAATTAAGGAGGGCAAAAGGATTAGGTAAAAGGTAAATGATGGCATAAGGGAGGAAATGCTAAGTACCCAAGGAGTGGACACACTGTGTGGCATCAGTATAGAGAAAGAGAGCAGGGTGGCCCAGGGGCAGAAGAGGCAGGTTCCAGCCAGGGAGGACAGTAGGATTCACACAGATGAATGAAGAGGATACAGCAGGGCTAGAAGGGTAGGGGACTGCTCAGGACACCTGAAGAAGGCTATGGTGGCTGCAGCAGCAGAATGCATGCCCTGTGCTAAAGTCTGGCCTACTGGCTACCCCAGAGAGCAGAACCCTGTGGAGAACAGTGGGCATGCTGTTGCTCCACCTGAGGGCTTCCTCCATCCCAGGCCTTCAGGACCTTTTCCAGAAGCAGATATCCTGGCAATGGCTGGAGGCTTAGTTACAGTCGTCATGAACCCAAGCTCTCAGAGGGCTACCAGGACAAAGCATCCTTAATCCTTTGCCCTTTGAATCAAGAAGTCCATTCCCAGTCTTAGTCAATTTAACTGGATGCAAAAATAACATTGGGAATGTCTAACATTTCTGCCTTTCAGGGTCGTGCTGGGTGCTCATTGGTATTTTTCAGATATGTGGCTTGATTCCTACCTTTGAGAATTTTATAGTCTAGCTGCAGAGATCAGACCTACACAGATGAAAGCAATCATAAAATAGATAAGAGATATATATTTATGGACAATAAATTCCAGTGTCAAAACACATGCATCTGATAGCACCTTGTTTCTTCCTGCCATGGTGCACATCTAGCCTGAACTGGATAAGCCCATTGAGGGAAAGGGAGCATATGCTTTCCTGAGGTCAGGTCATCTCCCCTGCTCACCTCCCAGGTAGGTTCCTCTTTAGGAGGATCTGCAGAGTCCTGTGCCAGCAGATGCAGCCTGTTCAGAATGATAATGAAGAGCCTGCCAGATGCCAGGCACTATGTTCAGCTCATTTAATGCTCATGCTAGCCATAGCTAGTAGATACTACTATTAGCCCCATTTTTCAGGAGAAGAAACTGAGGTACAGAGAAGTTAGGTAACTTGACCAGAATCACACAGCTATTAAGCTGGGATTTGCAACCTAGATCTCTCTGGTGCCAAAGTGCATGCTCTTAACAATGATGCTTTTTTAACTCATGTTAGAGGCAGTGGCATGAACTTGGACAGGAAAAAATATAGAATAGTATCATCTTGGAAAGCAGTCTTGAGCTTCCCCAGCTTCAGAAGAAGCACCCTCAACCTGCTTGTGGTACCTGATCCAAAGACATTTTGGTGGCTCCACCCAGGCCAGGGACAACCACTGGATACAAGAATATTCTTGTCCTGAGGTTTCTAAACCTAGCTGCTCATCACAATTACCCAATGAGCTTTAAAAAGACAGATTCCCAGGCCTCTGGGTCCTGTGAATGAGTCAGAGTAAGCAGGTCCAGGGTGGAACCAAGCAATCTGTGTTTTAATAATGGCCCTGTGGCAGTGTAAGCCAGTGTTAGCACAGTCCTGATCCACAGGTCCTGTCTGTATATAGCACCCCCCGACACCCGGAACCCTCCAAGAAGTCTTCTAGTTCTCACTAGTGTACACAATGGCTTTGCTTTGTTGTAATAACAGTGTTATACTGCTAGGGGCATGTTCTGGAACTGTATACTCCAAATAGTGCAAGAGAAAAAAGGCAATATGGCTGTGAGCTATGTGAGTAGTGTTTATTCCTGGAAAGAAGGATGCTTACATTTGGGAGCACCTGCTACAAAAGCAAGCCTGGCACTCATTTCTTCATAATAGAAATTCCTTCCTCAGTCTGTTACTGCCAATATACCATAGGTCATAAGTCCTCGGACTTTATTCCTAAGATATTCCCCACCTCAGAGCCTTATAACTTTATTTTAGCTTCAAATCTAATAGCTTGTTTATTAGACTCATAACTCGTAGCAAATTAACATCAACAAATTGAAAGTAAAGGAGTGAAGCCCATTGATAGCACTAAGAAATTACCATTAACCACTGATGGCTAGTATCTTTTCCTCAACAGTGCAGTAATAATAATATTAATAATAATAGTAATACTTAAAATTTATTGGGCATTTACCATGGTTCCTGTGCTAAGCATAATATATATGATCTCATCTAATTGTCTCACTGTGCAATTAATATACCCATTTTACAGAGAGGTAAACTGAGGCTCAGAGAAGATAAATAGTAACTTGCCCAAGGTTCCCCTGTTAACCAGTCTGTTCTGATGCTAAGACAACAAGAAAAGTATAAAAAGCAGACATGAGCTCAAGGCAGTTTGGGGCTACGTGGCCCTACCCACTCAGTAGGCCCTACAGATCACAGATCACTGTGATAAAAGTCCATCCACAGTGATGACCATGAGTCAAGGAAAGGCTATGTTTGTAGTCAGGCTTTGTATAAAGAGAAAATCGAGCTGGTATTATATATTTGAAAGTCTTCTAAAATGGGCTACAAACATTTTATTTTATTTATTTAGTTTTTGGCAGCTGGCCGGTATAGGGTTCCAAACCCTTGACCTTGGTGTTATAACACCGTGCTCTAACCAGCTGAGCTAACCGGCCAGCCCACAAACATTTTAAGGTGTTAGAATAAGCATAATATAAGAGGGGTCTTCAAAAAGTTCATGGAAAGATTCATATTATCTTTTAATTTTATTTTCACAAAGTTTTTGAAGTTCCCTCATATGTGGATGTCCTTATTCTCCCCCAGTTTCCAGACACCTAAGCATATTCAAGGTGAAGTGAGAGTTGCATGCATAAGTTTTTCTCACACATCATGGCCAAAGATACTTCTTCATTACCTCATAATCTCATGGTTATTTGCATTATTTTAGCTACAGGAGCTAAACAGCCTGAAGCAGCAGAAAGTTTTCATTCTGGACCTGTTCAGGACTCAGAATATTGCCACAATAACCATTATGTCTTTGCTCCTATGGTAAGTAATAGGTGATCTGGAAATGCAGACATATAGCACATAAGTATGCAACTTATTTTCTTTAATTCAGGGAACATCATGGCAAGGCCTTGGTTTTCCTGAGGCAAAATAGAAATTAT